CAGGCCACCCCCAGGACCCTGCTCTCGCTGAGTGCAGTCCTCTCTCTCCCAAATGTCCTCTGGACATCTTGTTCCCCAATCACGGGGCCTTCGAATTCGGTGTACAAGCCTCCCTCCCTAGACTGAACTTATTAATGGACAAAGAGGCCTTGACTTACTCTCTTTGTATTTCTAGCACCTCCTCCGAGGTCCGATAAACACTAGTTGAGATGGAATGAACACAAATGCAGCGGGGGCGCCAGGGGTGAAACGGACAACACAGTAAAAGGTCCTCCGGGGAGGGGGTAAACCTAATGTCACATTCAACGTCCTTCCCTAACGGCTTGGCCGGTTGATTGCTGCTCTTTCTGGGCCCCTCATACATGATGGCTGCTTTTGATTTTGTTCCTTTAGTGTTCGGGGCTTCCGTCGGATGTCACTTATGTTTTGCATCTGCCGCTCCTAGACGGCAAGCCCTTTGAGGGAAGGGGCTGTGTCTTTATGCACTTTGCTCCTCTCGGAGGCAAATACAGCAGGCACGGGAGGGCTGGGGGCCGAAGCTCCGCGCCCCAGGCCCGCCCCGCCTCCCTTCTCCCTCCAGACCCCTCCTCACTCGGGCCGCTTCCCGCCTTCCGGGCGGCGGAAGTCACCGGCTGCGCTTCCCTGCCCACGTGGAGCCTTTTCCGGTGCGCCCGCCCCCTCCGCCTCTCCGATCCGGACCTGGCCCTCACCTCAGGATTCCCAATGTGCCTCCGGACAGACATATTTGCTCCAACCGACCACGTTCAGGGTTCTAGCCGGTTGCCTCTAACCCTAACTTCCTACCCCCCCCATCTCCGCTCGGCCGCCTCCCTACAACCTCTTCTCCGATTGGCTTGCCTTCCCCCGGCCAGCCAATGGAGGCCCCGCTTACTAACCCTTTGCAGGGTCAGTGTAGAGCGAGACTCCGCTCAATGGTTGCCAAGGGCAACGCGGGACGCCGGCTGCGGAGGCCTTTTGTGCTGCCCGCTGGGCCCCACCCGCTCCAGCGTTCGCGCGGGAAGAGGGCCGCGGGGGAGGGGCGGGCTGGCGCCCGCACGTGGGCGGCTGCGCAGATCCCGGGTGGGGGGGGAGCCCGAGAATGGGGAGGAGGTGGTGGCGGTGGAACGGGAAACAAGTCTAGCAAATGTGGGAGAACAAATACTGCACGGGGCGCCCACCCACACACCACCACAACCACCCCCGTTAAGGCCGTTTCCAACGTCTCAACTACTTCTTCCACCGTAGGGAACAGATAAGGGACAGGATTGTTCAGCAGGGGTGGGAATCCGTAGCTTATTATTTTCAGGTTAAGTTAATATGCAAATTACGCAAAATATCGTGTAAATACAGTAATTAGTGTTGCTTTAAAAGCTTTTAGGTAGCTAGAGAACTGCAGCCTTAATTGCAAAGTACACACGCCATTCTGTGATTCATGATTCATTTAACAAATATTTAATAAGCACCTTATGAGAAACGCTGCAGAAGGTTTAGTGGAGGATGGGAGGATGACTAAAAACCAATCCCGTTGTCATGGAAACCATTGTGACTCCTGCCATCAGCCACCACCTGTTCTTATTCCAGATCTGAAAATTAAGTCCTAGCACCTTTACGAAACAATCACACACAGTTTGACTTGGCTCGAAAATGTCCCACCAAATCCATCAAAATTATTGTTTCCTTTTACGTGGGAGGAACAACACAGTAACCCTTTGTTCTTTGCTCTAAGTTGTTTTTCCAGGGACGGAGAAAGGTTCCTCGGAGCTGTTCATATTCCTGGCTCCCTGCTTGAGAATAACAGATACATGGGAGCGGTTTCAGGGTCTGTGCAGATGACCGTTCAGCATGGCCTCGCAGGTCCTGTCTCTCAGTCACTTCAGCATCCCACCCTCAGGGCCACAGCTTGAATGGTGCTGTCACTCACAGATGGCTGACCCTAGGATCTGACGCTGGCCACATCTGTCTCTTGCACTTTCAAGCTACTTTTACTGAGTTTTGTCTGAACTTCCCTAGTGTTCTCCAGTCCGTCAACCTCTCTAAAATCCCCCGTTTCTCACCCCTTCACTAGAATAAGGAAGAGTTTAAGGGGCTGCAAAAAATTGGAAGGGGAGAGGTGGGGAGGATATTTACCTAGAACCTTTTGCACAGCAAGCAGAAACTTCTAGACGCATTACTACTTAGAATGTAAGCTTATCTTATCCAGTGCACTGTGAGGGTAGGGCGATGATAGAAATTATGAGTAGAATAAACGGGAAAAGAAAGAAGGGAGGAAGATAGTAAGGGACTAAACTAAGAGGTGGCGAGGAGCAGAAAAGAGACTTGAAGACATTTCTTGGTAAAATTAAGTTACTGTATACATGAGAAGAGGTAAGGGATGCAAAGAATGGGATGGCTATAATTTGTCTAACTTGGGGGACTGAAAAGATGAGTGATAATTCATTAATCAAGCTCAAGAAAAAGGGAACATACATGGAGATTACAGAAATGTGGATTCTCAGGTCCATCTGTCAGAGGTGCCCACTCTATGTGCCTAGGGTGGAGTTTAGGAATCTGGAATTTAAATACATGCCCCCCTTACCCCTTGGTTCTGATGTATAGAGTCCAAGGGCAACACCTTGAGAGACTGTGCCCTGGAAAAACCTCCAATTCCTTTACATTTTGCCTTGGAATCCTTGGAAAGCTTAGAGCTATAAATCAAAAGGCTTTTAGCATCGTGAGTTTCTTTTTAGGATTCCCTTTGGGTCCTGCTATAGCAAAAATGCATCAAAATTAAAGCAAGTTGCTTACTCTAAATATGAAAAGCAGTAAATGGCACAAGAAGATAATTCATAGAAGAAAAACATTCGATAAACATACGAAGAAATGTCCAACTAATAATGAAAGAAACACAAAACCAAACAGCTAGGTCCCATTTTTCAACTAACAAATGGACAAAGGGTTTTTGTTTTCTCTCTTTTTTAATGATAATGCTCAGTGCCACGCTTATACATCGTTAATGTGAGTAAAAAGAAGTGTGACCATTTTGAAAAGTAATTTGAAAGTGAGTGTGGAGAAACTCTCAAATCTTAATAGTCTGAGAACTCCTCCTAAGGAAATAATGAGAGAGATGCACAAAGATTACAGCCACAGATATTTACTGGAATTGTATTTAAAGTGATAAAAAATTGAAACCACCACACTGATCATCAGTTGAAAATGATTAAAATAAATGACGACATACCCATAAAATGTAATATTATTGAACAATATTAAAAAGTATGTTTTGAGGAATAATTAAGGCAATGGAGAACTGTTCCTGATAGAGTAAAAGGAAGAGCTGGAAACAGTTTTTAATTTAATATAAACCTGATGGGGGAGAAAAAAGTATCCATTAAAAAATTGTTTTAAAAATATTTAAAATGTAAACCATCCTGGGTTATGGAATATGGATATTTGTTTTACTTTTTACAGTTTTGTGTGTTTTGCAGGTTTTCTTCAGTGACTATGAATTAATTTTATACCTTAATAAAAACATTCACCCTCTAAGAAACAAAAAACCTCATTCTTTCTTCAGCCTGAAAATTGTCTGTGGCATTTGTCTGCGCTCATTTAGACCGGAGCTGAATTCTGGGTAATTCCGCTATTTGAAGTGCAGTTTGCTCCTTCTTGGCAGTAAAAGACTCTTCAAGCACTTGAGTAAGATCCTTGCAATCAGAGTTGTAATTGCTAAGAGGTTCGAGCTTTGTTTGTAAGAGAAGAAGTTCTGATTCTTTTCTTTAAAAGTTCCTACTTCCACTGATTAATCTTGGTTTTCATGAAGTTAGAAGTGCTCTTGTGAACTTCCTTTGCTTGATGTCTCCTTTTTAACCCTGTGTGTGTCCCAAAAGCCTTTAGTTTCTGCAGAGTTGGTGGGAGAGCCAGGTAGGTAGGTAGGTGTGACTGGTTTAAGGAGAGTGTTTTAGGTGCTCCTGTGCTTGGTCAGTGGGTATGTGGGTGTCAAGCAGTCTGGCCCTCTTCTGAGCCTAAAACCCTTTGGATGGACCCCCTTCATCCAGAATCCATCTTCTTGTCCAGCACACACCACCCAATTAGCTCCCCATGCCTTCACCCTCAGCTCTCAGCCTGGCTTCCTGATCAGAGCCCAGCACCCTGCCCTCAGACCTGTCTCAAGAGGTTGCTTCTAGAATATGGGCCTTGGCCCTCTTCCTTGGCTCCGTTTACCTTCATTCCCTAAATGACATACACTTTCAGATGCTTAAGGAAACAATTCTGCCCAATTCATTCTAGTCCTGGGGTCCTTCCTCTGTGCCCCAGAAATGGAATAGCAGTGGAGGCAGTGAATCCACAGATCCACAAGCTCCACCCTGTGATAAAGTTCCTGTAGTTCCGATAACAGTTTGGTGTCATTCTCCCTGGTGGTGGAATGTGCCCGAGGAAGGAGCGCACTAGCCTCTGAGTGGAGGGATGACCACTCAGGACAGAGCGGTCTGTCTCCCACTTAGGCCAGAGTTGAAGTTGAAGGACATGGCCTGAGCCCAAAGGCCTCAACCATCCCTGCAGCCTCTCCCAGGTATCTCCCAGGATTTCTTTGGGACTGTCACAAGTTACATTGCTTTCTGGTAAAACAAAGAAATAGCATTCAGGTTGCTTACTTGATGGGGTTGCTACTCTCATGTATGCAGTTCTGCAGCCACATTTGAGAGCCACATGGGGCTCCTAGCTGTGGTAGGAAAGGCCTATGATGACCCCTCCCAGGAGATCAAAGATCTCCTTCACCACCTGTGATGGAGCCCAGGCCATTCAGTCATCACATGCCACATTCTGCTTCTGGCATAGAACAATGTTCTATCACAGACCCAGTTTCAAGGGGACAATGAGTAGCCCACCGGGGTCTCAGATGGTCTGCCCCATGGGAATGGAAGAGGAATCAGTGTCGGGAGGTGACTGTGTCACTCTGGGCCCACTGGACAGCTGAAAAGCCTGTGCCCCACGAAAAGGCCAGTAAATGTGGTTCAAGTGTGTCAGATGTTCACTTTTCTCAAAATAATCTAGAGATGTAGGTTTTCATGTGAAATCTGCAGGCCACTAATTTGCAACCCTTGTGCTAAACTCTGCAAATACTGTATCATTCCTGTCCGTGGAGATTGCACCCGTTGTAAAAACAGTGGGAGCTCTGCTTCCATTTAGGACGTAGAAAGCTGCAAGGGATATCGCTCCCATCCTTCCAGTAAGAAAAAATGAATAATCTAAAAATCATACGTTTTCTTGAATCCTTTAGAGAGCTGAGATCGCAAGATAATCACATAACCAAATTCCAAAAAGTGTCAAGCCCTACTGAGGAGAGAGGAGATGCACAAACTGTTTCACATTTGGCAGAGCTCCGAAGAAAAGGTGACTACCATGGAAATGGGTAAGAAAATATCAGCTAAAATTTTCACTAATTCCTAAAGACGGAGTTTGGGTTAGTGGATCAGTTTAGAATAACTGGGAGCCTATGGTGGTTAATTTTCTGAGTCAACTTGGCTAGGCATGGTACCCAGATATTTAGTCTAACACTATTCTAGATGTTTCTGTGAAGGTATTTTTAAAATGAGAGTAATATTTAAATCAGTAGACTGTGAATAAAGCAGATTATCCTCTATCATGTGGGTAGGATTCATCCAATCAGTTGAAGACTTTAGAGAAAAAGACTGAGGTTCCCCAAAGAGGGCAGAATCTTGATAGCAGATTGCGTTTAGACTTGAGCTGCAACATCAACTCTTCCCTGGGTCTCCAGACTGCTGGCCTACCCTGCAGATTTTGGACTTGCCAGCCTCCAT